CAGGAGGGATAGAGGTGGGGTGGCCTCGATGGGAGACGGGGGCTCCTCCTTCTCGCGGTCCCCATCACAGACCTCATCCGACGAGGCGACAGCATTCACTTCGGGCCGGATGGCTTTGGAGGCGTTCTGGGGTGTGAAAGGGGAGTTACCGCTGCTCTGCCCCGCCGGTAGGCCCTCACTGCCACGCTGGCACAGGCAGCCTGCAGGCACACCGCCCTCCACCCTCCCACACCATTGCGCCCCTCCTCCAGAGGCCTGTGTCCCCCCAGGGAGCTAGCTGGAGGGCCCATCTATTGCCTGTCCCCCCCAGGCTCACACCAGCAGGGTTGACTTAGACCCTCGAGCTGCCTGCCGGGAGGGCGCAAGAAGACTGGCTTGGACGCCCTTCCCTGGGCTGGCAGCTCTGGGTTGGGCGGGCTCCCAGGACAGGAGCGGCGGCAGGCCCTCCTCATGCCCTAGTCTGGCCTGGTGCCCTGGGCACGGCCCTACCTCACTGAGCCGGATCTCTCGGGCCAGGTCCTTGATGAGCTGTGAAGGCTTGAAGTGCTCCGGGAGTTCGTCCTCATGCTCCGCCAGAGCCTGCGGGCAGCGGGCAGGGGGTCAGCGCGGCTCGGCCTCTGCACGGGCAAGAGGCTGCCATGGGCACGGCCTGGCCGCAGACTCCATGCCTCCGCCAGGCCCTGCTCTGACAAGAGGCCCTGCTGTGACCCCCGCTCTGCAGGTGGACAGTCCCCGGGGGATGAGGCTGACTCGGGCCACCACCAGCAGGCTACAGAATAGACATGGGTCCTACCCCTTCTTCTGGAGTGGGAGGCTCCCTCCCCCAAAGTCCCCTGCATGTGCCCCACCGGCTCCCTGGCCTAGGAGGGAGCACCCACCTTCTTTGGGCTCGAGGAGGACACAGAGCTCTGTGAAAGGAGAGCCCCCAGCTACAGATGCCCTCCTAGAAGTGCCTGAGGCCAAGCAGGCCCCTCCCTCTGCAGGCCCGACCCTGGTGAGACGCTAGGGCCTCCACTGAGAAGCCTCCACAAGCACAAGTGAGGGGCAGCCCACAGGTGGGTCAGCTCAGGTGGCACAGGCAGCAGGGGGCAGGAGCTGGCCCACACTGGCAGTGTGGCTTCTGAGCTGATGCCTGGGGGACCAGGAGAAGCCAGGAGGGCACCCCAGCATTTGCTGCCCAGGACAACATGCCTGGCCATCAGGATAGGAGGTCCAGCTCCCCAAGCAGGATGTACGCTGGGCACTGCCCCAGGGCTCCAGTGGGCCCTCCCACTGCCCCAGCCTGGGGTGTCTGTGACCTGCTTCCTACCTGCTTCTTTGTCCAAGATCTGAAAGCACCATTGAGAATTCTAGCTCCTTGGACTAGATGAGGGGGCAGCTGCTTCCCAGACCTGTGAGAACCTGAAGAGGAGGCAGTAGGTCAACTCTGGTGGGCACCCAGCACGCTGCCTGCTGCCCATGGGCACCCTCATGCCCACCCAAGCAGCCGGGCGAGGGGACACTGCATCCCACCGTCCACAAGCGTCTCCACCTCTCCACCCACACCACCTGCCCAACTGCCAACGGTTCCTCTTGGAACCTGGGCGCGCCTGGCACCAGCCCTGCAAGGGCAGGACCTGCTCCCCCCGTCCTCCCACCACCTCACCTGCAGCCCCCGCGAGGTCACTCCCCTGGTGGCTGGACTTGCTCAGCTCTACGCGCTGCCCAGCTCTGCCTCAGGAAGGGGCAGTAGCCACACAGATGAGTCACAGCCTGACCCCACGCCACACTAAGCATGCCTAGGTGCTGCCTCCTCTCGCCTCATGTGGCCCCCAAGGGACCACCTGCAGCTGAGGTGGTGGGTTCCTGCTG